ATAATCAAACATTTGAATGTCTTGTAAAAGTCATGGGATTCATTTCTGACCTACAGGTTTATAATTATGATTGCAGCATGAGCTAAATCCAGGATTTTGTTTAGAATCAGAGGTACAGTTACCCAATACCTTTAATACAATACTTCAAACTATGACAAACGCTGTATCTATGACCTAAGTAACCAGCTGTTATATTTTAAATCATACTACGTCTTCATTTAAAGATATAAGTCATACTTCTGGAAAATCCGGAATCCGAAATAAAGGATCATGAACAATGGCAAATAAAATAAAATAAATAATAATACACCTGTACATGTATGTACAAATTGCACACGTTACATCTCACGGTTCTTCATAAGACATTGGTCTTCCTTTGAAATACATGTACACCCCCTGTACATTGTAACATTATTAATACGCTGTAATTTTCATCTCCTTTGCCAGGTGAAATAGACTTCAGGCTTCCAACTTCAAATGAATTGGACTATAATTTACAAGGAATGTGTGAGGCTTTGAAATCTTTACCCCCCCCCCCCCCTCAGAAAAGATCGCTGCAAAAACAAACTCCTCTTGATAATGCCTTTTCCTAGAAAAACTAGCTAATTTTGTGCTGTAATTCCAAGAAAATACTGTTAGCTGAGTAAGCACTAGATGTCTTGAGGTCTTTCAAAAGAGGAAAGATCGAGGCCCTTTCTTCAAATGAGGAAAGAGACCCTTTCACAAAATATTGATTTGGTGTGTAATATAGGGTACATACATCCATGAAATGCTTGTATATACCGAGAAAGGAATCACCCCTGTGGTATAAGACACATGTTATTGCCCCTCTGAAAGTATTAAAGTGGTCAGTATGGTACAAAAATAACCAAAAGATGTGAAGACTTTTTTCTTCATCTTTATTCTCAGTAATGATCCCTTGATCTATTCTGTGGTTCTTGGAAATGGAAGAATGGTCAACATGTATGATTGAGGGTGGTAGATTTCCACCTGTAGTTGTTTATAGCCTTAAAGACCGTCAATACTACTGGGCCAGAAGGGATTAGACCACACAGAGAGGTCACTGACAGGTGGCTATCTCATTAACTCAGCTCTCAACTAACATAAGAAAAAGAGGATCATGGGGGACCAAAAGGCACCGATTGCGGAAGTTTTCTATATAGAGGGAGCAAGTAGCTACAAGTAGGACAGTGAGGCTTTAACAGAGAGACAAATGATGGTGCTAAAATAAAGGGTCACTAATTTCATCTGATTTCTGAGAATCCAGTTCATCAGCTCAGCACTGATTTATCTCTAAGAGATCATTGACATTATTAAACGTGAAAGTGCAAAGTTCATACAGTCTGCAATTTGCATGTTTCTTCGCTGGTTTCACAAACCGATAAACTTGTGCAAGGCCAGGAAACAGGTTTTCAACATTTATGGATACACCTATGAGGCAGTAGTAGGGCAACAAGCTCTGAAACATTTAGAATGCTTGCAACTTCAAGAATCCATATTGTGAGTTGATAATTTAAGATTTATCATTTTTGTCACCGATAATATTTTTTGGGGGTTACCAGTAGGTAGATTTGCTCACTTATGAAATGCTGTAAAATGAAGTTGATTCTAAGTAGTAAAATATTTCAAAGAGATCTGATTGAATGATTGATTGACATATGTTTTCAGTATGTCGACATCTACTATAGATGTATGAACACTTTTCAGCATAAGAAAAGCAGCTTTACATTTACTAAAATCTAAATATAACCGAAAGATAAGTATCCTTGTAAGAACGTACTAGAGGCATATATACACATGCCACATGCTCAACTGATTTGATTTAAAGGGACTAGGTAACATTGTTCAGATGAGAGATAGCAGTGCTAAGTTAGTGACTTCAATGCTAGATGTACAATTAAAGATAATCTGAAAATTTGAGTGAAAACGGACCATTATTCATGGTACAAATTGAGAAAAACTTATCTGATCGATTCCTTAATTCTCCCAAATATATTATTACAATTTATTTACACTTTAGGTGAATGTAAATCTTCACAAAGCAATAACATGGCTCTACATACCATTCCAGACATTTAAGTGTTGACAGATTTTTTATAGCCTGTTTTATGTTTTTTTTTTCATGGAAAAACGGTTGGGAAAATTCAAAAATGGTTGGGAGAATTTACTGTTAATCACTGTAAGAGGGTGTCATACATCAACTCCTTCAAAGAAAACCATAGATATCTTCGTGGTTCGAGATTTTTTTCAGGATTTTTTGCATTTCAGAGGGTTAGTACAGTAGAAGGAATATAGTAAGTAACATTTTATACAAAAATTAAGCAATTTTTTCATCAACCTTCAACAATGTTACCAAGTCACTTTAATATGATTAATTACTAATTACACACATATGTTGGCTCAGTCAGTAGAGCGTCCGCCTCACAACCGGGAGGTCGTGGGTTCGAACCCCGGCCACGTTATACCAAAAAGACGTTAAAAGATGGGAGTTGTTGCTACCTTATTTGGCGTTCAACAATAAGGGATAGAGCAACGTCTATCTGGCGCTGCTCAGTGGCTGCCGGGCTCACGATCAATTGGGCAAAATAAATTTCCGTTTCGGTTTAATAAAATTTCGAGTGGACCATTAAAGATTATTATTATTATTATTATTAAAACAAGAAAATGAAATGACAAGTGATAAAGAAGAAAGAAAAGAAAAAAAAAGAAAAGAAAAAGAAAAGCAACAAAAAACCAAAGCAAATAAAAGTGGCGCATAAAATCTTCTCCTTCTAAAAATAATATATCATTCACCCCCTTGCCCACAGAAATGCAAAAGTAGTTCTGCCCCACGATTCCAAGAAATGCTATTTTCGCTTACAAACCACCTTCTTGTTGACTCTCATCAACTTTGTCACGCTTGAAATGTCAGAGATCAACCGCAGTTCAATCCCAAGATTTCCGATTGATCTTACGCCATCGTAATTTCAATGTTTGCACTTTTTATGGTGATACTCGCTGCAATCCACTCATATTGAGCGAGGAACATAAATGGCTAGTTTCGGGGAAATCATGGTCGAAAACATCTTCAATAATTGGGAAAGGGACTCTTCGTTTCATGGGTGACTGTTTTTTACCAGTGATCTGATGCTTGCTCCAGCAAAATTTGATTCACAATGTATTTTATCAATCAAATTGGGTCAGGGCTGTGACATGGTTTTGGGTCAGGGTTGTAACTGCACCTTGGCTGGCAATGTAGGTTTAGGTTCATGGTTAGGACTAGGGTTAAATATAAAATCACTGTATCTTCATTTTTTTCACGACATGTTTCTCATATGCAGGGGCGTAGACAACGGGGGGGGGGGGGGGGGGGGGGGGATGAGGGGGATGGCATGTACAATCATCCCCCCCCCCAGGTTTTGGGGAATGATATTTGCTTACTTAATAAGTCATAATGATGATAATAATAGTAATAATAATAATGATAACAATTATAATATTAATAATAATAATTATGATGATGATAATAATAATCCTCATCATTATTGTAATTGTGTTTATTGTTATTAGCCGCATTCACACGGTGAAAGCCAATTCAGACGGTAAAAAAAAAGAAAATCTTACAAGTATTTTGTGGTTATCTTGTGGTTTGGAAACCACAAGATAACCACAAGATTAAACAGGCGCGGATCTACGGGGGGGGGGGGGTTTAGGGGGTTTAAGCCCCCCTTGGGCGGCCCAAAAAACAAACAAAACAAAAAAAGGAAAAAAAAAGAGAAAAAAAAAAAAAAAAAAAAAAGAAAAAAGAACGCACGCTGGAGAGAAACCCTTTCAAGTGCAAATATTGTGAGACGATATTCAACTCATCTGGTAACTTAACCAAACACATGATAACTCTGGATATAACTGTGTATTGAACTGTTACTTGATTTAAAAAGACGTTATCATGCACTGCTTTTTATGGTCTCCATTGTGTTAATAGATGCCAGGAAAACATCACTTACGGGGTTCAAATAAACACCCAAAAAAAAATCGGCTCGCCGCTTTGCGGCTCGTGGACGATGCTCCGCATCGTCATTATTGGTCAACCCCCCCTTAGCAAATAGCTAGATCCGCCCCTGAGTCATCCCCCCCAGGTGTACGAACCTGTCTACGCCACTGCTCATATGGTTGCAATGGGCAGCTTGATGGCTTTAGACTCTAGGGCCCGAATTCACAAAGGAGGTTTAACATTTTTGGTTTAAACCCTCATTTACATAACCCATGATTAAAAAAATTGGCGCAAAATAAGCGTACCTTGCCTTGTGCGTGTCTAATATTGGACCTCTGACTGTGTCACGCTTATTTTGCACTGAATTGAGACCATGGGTTGTGTAAATGAAGATTTAAACTATATGTTAAATTTAAACCTCCTCTGTGAATTTGGGACTTGGAGTGTGAGAAAAGACATAGCATCAGGTAGATTGTCCCTAAAATTATATGTTTTCTGTGATATATTATTTTCAGTGTTCTCTAAAATAAAATTTGTTTCTGTTTGAGGCAAATAGTGCATTAATCGACCCACATTATTCTAAGAATAAGTTAATGTCATTCTGGCTTAAAACACAACAATTGAATGTTTTCATTCATGAAATGGAACAAAAAAGTCATCTTATAAAAGATGCAGATTTTCATTCAACTCGGCTACCGTCTTGTTACAAGTGAACAGCCAAATCTTTCATCTCATGAAACAATTTACTATCTCCCTCATAAACATGATATATTTGTTTGCTATTGCATCGCATCACTACTCTTACATGTACATGTACAATGTATCATTATCGAGCTCAGCAATCTTACTTTCCACAACACTCAGTCATAGAGGGATTTGATACAGCGTGACAAATCCAGCATAAAGTTTAACTTGGCTACAAGCAGTCTCTATTTTAAGAGATAAGCTGCATTTTTCACCTCATGCAATAGTTTTACTATCTCCCTCACAAACATCCAATAGTTGTATACTATCGTCCCGTGTTACTCACCTGTATCATATAGAGCTGAGCAATCTTATACTCCTCCACACTCAGTGGTAGAGGGATTCGATACTCCTTGATCAGCATGGTGATCACTTCTCGCCTCTCCCTCCTACATCAGATCAATGGCATTTCTGTAGAGAGAAGAGATAAAGACTGGTAAAAACCTGTGTTTGCTCCATGTTTCAAGAACTACACACATAAAAGAAAGCACTTGGAGGGGGAGGGGGGGTTACATTTTTGTGATATTTTTTTCAAATCTATTCGCTCTACAAAGATGGCAGGTTTCTTCTTTTCAAAGAATTTGCCTTACCTGAATTGAAATTATCTTTTTTTGAAGAAGAGAAGAAAAGAAGAAGAAGGAGAAGAAGAAGAAGGAGAAGAAGAAGAAATAAACTTGTATCTTTAACATGTTTGACACAATATTTCATCTACAAATAATTTCATTTTCTTCAATGCTTTATGGTAAAGAAAAACAAATATTGATTAACACTTTTTAAATGTATTGACTGACAACACGCTATAATGAAATGCATATAAATCTTTTCTTTACTCAATTTATTACACAGATGACATTTCTGAAGATAAAGGACAGGTGTATTCAAAAAGATTTGTTATCTCATGCCAAATTTTGTCCTTGAATATTAAACTCTACATTCATCTGCACCAAATATCCTGGACTCATTTGCTCTGCACAGACTGAATATGCAAGGGGTAAATAAAGCATATGCTGCATTTGTCGCCACGGGCCACAAACATTCCCCTCGCAAGACAAATGTTTGATGTCACATTGGCAGCCTTTTACCCCAGCCAGTCAATCACAGCTGCTGTCAGCCACGAGTATGACGTCACAAGCCATAACACAAACACACAAACCAGGGGGGTGTTTCACAAAGATCCTAAGTAGAACTTAACTCTAAGTTGGACTTTAAAATTATGGAGAGCCATTGGAGCCTTAAAATGAAATATATTCAAAAGCAGAAATTCAAGTATTTTAGACTTTTCATAAATTCCACATCAAGGACATGAAATCTCCTTGATAATAGAAAATATGAGCGATTTGAATCAACATTTTATGCCTTTTAAATAACTTTTACAAAATATTTTCAAAGATGCTAACGGCTTTCCAACTTAGAGATAAGTTCAACTTAGGATCTTTGTGAAACACCCCCCAGGAGGGGAGTAATGCGCCGCCGGCGGTACAATCAAATTGGCAACCCTTTTTAATGGCGGCAGTCAATCAGTTAAGGCAGCCGGAGAATGACATCTGACGTCATAGGAGCAGTGATGTCCCAGGGCATGAGAGACGTTTAGGGTCAGATTATTTAGTCTGCAAAAATAAATATCCCACACAGTGGGCGGCCGGCCCGTCGCTTCGAGGTGAATGGGACAGTCCCAGAGTCGCTTCAAATTTTGTCCTGTCCTGTCTTGCACATACATTATACTGTAGATGTATGTCCAAATACAAATGGGTATTCAATGCATGTGTTCAACGCATGTGTTCAATGCATGGGTAATGCAACATTTGTTCTGGGCTTTATTTTGGAAGTATTTCTTCATAGATAGGGTTAGGATTTAAGTTTGTCACTGACTTTTAGTTTAGCTTTTAAGGTTAGGATTTTGTATAATGTTGGGTCATAAGATGAAATGATGAACTCTGCATGAAGTTGAAATTTGACCAAGGAGCATACAATCAGCCAACAGCACTACAATATGGAGTATTGGCATGTAATAAACAATCAAATAATCACAACAATTACTGCAATATCAATGCCTAAGGTTGAAAAGAAATTTGCAGGAATACTACGATTTGATTTCCAATGTAAGTTACAAGATTTTGAATTGCTAGTTGCTTTGCCATTTGAAAGAAGAATTAAACATAGCACCCAATAATCACAAAATCTGAAGAAACTTGAACATTTACCACAGGTGCATGTACTTGTTTTATTTGATACTAATAACTCTTAATAAAAAGATAGATTTTTCTGCAATCAGAGGCCCAAACTAAAGTACCCTACAACACGATTCTTCAATATGGTGAAATATGTGTTGACAAAACCGCACAAAGTGGTACAGAGTACTTATACAGTTACATTGATTCTTAATATATTATTTCTAACATCTGTAAAAATTATGTGTATACATTGATGTTAAAGACAACCTTTTTGTTTTGTACCGTGTGGGGGGGGGGGGGGGAAGGGTGTAGGATTACCTAAGCATTTTTATACATATATTTTTTTATTTATATTATAGAGCACTTGTAACTTTTATTTATTCTCAAGGGGTCTATAAAATACAAGCCATGCTTTTTTAATAGACTCCGCCATTATGTTTTTACCACTGTGCCAATCTTAAATGATTTATTTGAATAATTGTGTAATTATTTGATGAATCTTTTGTTTAATATTATGTTATTGAATTTGTATAAATTGCAAATTCATTTGATTATGTGTTATTATGTGGGAAAATAAAGAAACCTTGAAGCTTGACAAAATTTCTGTTTCAGAGGGAATTTACCAGTATCTCCTACAAAATAAACCAGCTCACCTCAGCCTCACCTATGAGATCATAGTACAGAGTCAGTTAGGACAAGGAGATCCCCTTCATGACTTGTTCCAGCAGCTGTACTGTGACAGGCCTACATGGACAAGCCTACATGTACATTGTAAATGATGATTGGTAAGGCGAGAACTGGCCATACCACAATCAAGGATGCATATAATTCCATTCACAAAATGACAGTGACGCATCTGTTCTGATGAAATGGTTGGCAGCATATTAATAGTACTAGAGGTGATAGGTTCATTACAAGTATATAATGTCGCCATAGGTTGTTGCCATTACCTGCCCTTCTGTTTTATGATCCATCATTAGCTTCATATTGTGGTAATAAGTGATAACATTCTTTCTACAGGGTGTCCCAAAAACATAGAAGAAATAGCTTCAATAGAAATGTAATTAAAAATAATAAAATAATAATAATATTGGATAATTATATAGCGCACATATCCACCATGCATGGTGCTCAAGGCGCTCCTACTATTACCCCGGCTCTGCGAGGCAGCCGATTTCGGCGCTCACAGCATTCAAGGAATTCCTTCCTACCAGTAATGACACATGTAGCTTCTATTGAAATGTAATTAGAAGACAACTCATTACAATTGTGAATTATCTGGTATTACAAGTTACGATCGATCAATAATGTGATGTTGTGGTCATACATGTACATGTAAATGATATGATTTTGCCTACAGGGTGTCCCAAAAATATGATGAATAGAGAAGAATGTACATTTAAAAGAAATGCAATGAAACGACAACCCATTACAATTATGTGGAATTCTATTGAAAGATTGATCAATAACTTCGTAGAAATCCTTAGTAATATGATTCTTCTAAAGGATGTCATAAAAGGATGTCATAAAAGTTAGAACCATATTGAATCCAGGTACAAGTAAATTATTTTTTGTTAATGCCCTTCGTGATCTTGGCTCTAAATAGTCGATATACATTTTCTTAATTCCAACACAAATGAATGCAATATTGATGTCACATGCCAAACTTTAAAGGCGAATATTGACACATTGTGCTCTTCTAAGTAGACCAAAAACAAATCATATTTAAAGGGAAATGCGAGTTTACCATCATCATCATTTTGCTGCGATCAAATAATAAAGGGATGAACGCATACATTTGTAAGTTACTTTAAAGTTTAAACCAACTATGAAAGCATGATAATTCCACTTGGCAGGAGTGGTATAATCATTTTTAAAAGATCTGCTTTTACAAGAGTAACTTAAACAAGTAATCAAGTCGAAGAAAAAGCAATTCACTATAAAAAGATTTAAAAAAATCTATTCTCAGACAAAGCTGCTTTTAGTGTAAAGTAGAGAACCAGAGTAAGAAGGTAAAAAGTGTTTGAAAGCTTCAAAGAGTAAACATTTCAAAGAGATCCGGTTGAATGATTGATGTAAGTTTTCAGTATGTCGTCATCTACTATAGATGTATCTTAGCCAATAGCATGAACACTTCTCAGCGTAAGAAAAGCTACTTTTACATTGGAATGTTATCTGACATAATAACAAAGAACATGATTACAGACTATTAACATCACAAAGACATTCATTTTATTTCAGTACATTAACATCTACTGTAGATGTACATGTACATGTATCACATCATAAAACTTACCATAATGAATTTTATATTCACATTTGATTTGTAAATAACAGTATACATTGATAACAGTAAATATTGTTTGTTGAAAGCGGGAAACATGATTAATTGGATCATTATACATGCATTGTGGACCTTAGTCAAAATTTCATAGAACATGGACAGAGCAAAGAGGGATGTTAATTTTTATGTCCATTTCTATAATGGCTTCAGTATTTCAATACCTTCTGTAGAAAGCTTAGACAATATTTAGCATCAAAGCCCCCTTTCAGGCATTAGACATTATGTATAAACACCTTTTAAATGTAAAATAAATTTGATGAATAATTTGTTCAGAGACATAAGGGCGTTTACTCACTGTGTGTAAAATATATGAGTTAACATCCTTCTGCTTCAAAACAGACAAAATCGGTTTTGAAAGTTGAAACTTTAAAGTTTTTTTTTCAGCAGATGAATATGGAATAATGGTGTACTGTATGTATAATAAACTAAATATGAATTTAAAAATACTACATGTACGTGATTCCTGTTCTCAAAATGCTATCAAAATCTTAAACATATGATTTTCAAATTGTAGATATTTAGAATACAGAATAATTCTAAAAATGATATTCAGATCAAAACAGTGAAAATTCTCTGTTTTCAACATTAACTTTTAATATGTCAATATCTACTTGAGATGTCGATCTCCCCAGAAAAAAGCATAACTTCCTTCTTACAGATGATGTACATTCAACTTATCATATCCTCTGTAGGGCTTTAACTCATAACCTTAACATTGAGTAAATCTTCTGCACAGAGCCAGAAAGGCATTAACTTGTATCACTCAATGCAGATTGAACATCCTACTGGCATTCAACAGATATGTCCTTTTGGTCTTTTCATCTTAAACTACGCCTGTACAGTTAACACTAACCCTAATGTTTAGCTTAAACCCGATATCAATGCTTTTACTGAAT